TGGACTACTCCTAAAAGATGGATTCCTGATTAACCTAGTTGAAACTAATAACTGCAAAATTGAGTTAAGAAGATCAACAGAATGGGGATTCCTTCTTCCAACTGAATCATAAATATCTTTAAATTGCAGGTGATCTCTTACGTACGCATGCACAATCCCTCCCTCCCTCCCTTCCTGTTGGCTTTTTTTAAAACTCACTTTAAATTTGGGGCGTGGGGGGACATACAACTCACCCCTACAACCAAAAAACTTAGTTTTAATTACTTACTTTGTCTGAAATGCCTTATAGTGACAAATCCTCCTTGCTAAGCCATTTTCTAGTTTGATACATCTGAATTCCTTTTACCTCGGTAGAAGTTGGTAGCAGATTTCCAAAGAGATACTGAGGCATCATACGAGAAGCACAATGCAAACAAGTCTTTGATTCCATGCCATCATATTAATGTCAGTGATGGCATCTTTGCTTTGTTCTGATGCAAAGATACAAATAGTTTATAATTCATTAGGACACAGTTCTAAAAGCTGAGTGCAAATCTGTCTGTTTGTAAAGTAAAGAAATAAGTTTGTAAAGTAAAAAATAAGAATTTATAAAGCTGAGACAGTTAATTGAACTAGTATATTATTGCCAAATTGAATATATTATAGGTATCTGAAGGAATGAATTAATGTGAGTTGTATGAGGTCATTCCATGCTTTGTCCAAGTAATGCTTCATGTTACAATGTAATTGTTTTATTTTGTAAGTCTTGGAACATGGCCAGTTTGGAAGGTAGTTTTGCCCATAAGACTTTAATAACATTCTGTTAATTATGAATACTGTAGGTTGAATTGGCTAAGCCAAATGAATAAATGCAGCTTTGCTTTGGCAGCAGAGCAGGCTTGGAAATTGCCCACATGATGATGGTAAGTATAAAAAAAAAAAAGGATTACTCTGTGAAAGGTGGAAAGAGGTCAACTTCTCTTGACTTCACCTTTCCGCACAAAACCTGTGTGGCACAGAGCAGGGATTCCAATGTCTTATTACCCCCTTCACTGATATTGAAATTTTTTTGTTTGTTTGATGTGTTTATTTGATTTATATGCATCCTTTCCCAAAAAGATGCTCAGGTCGGGTTACAATATGAGACGCACACACATATATATATAAAATACACACACACAGAATAAAATAGTATAAGAAGAAGGTACAACAAAGTAAACTTTCCTCCAAATTCAAAAGCAATCTACCACTCTTTCCTTTTCCCTGCCTCCTGTGAAAATAATCTTCCCCACCGCCTTTCTCAGATCAACCTAGTTTTGCCTTGCAACCCATGTTCAATATCTCCATAAAAGAAGCACGCCCCCTCCCAAAAAAACCCTCATCCCATATTTTCTTTTATTCTGATCCACTCTTACTTCCCTGCCTCATGCTCAGTGGAGTCCCCTCCTATCCCTCTTACTGTCCCTCCCAAGTCAGACCTGTGGGGCGGGAGTGTAGCTGTTTCAAACATGTTGGTATCTCCCTTCCCACAATTAAAACAAACAGACAAGCAAGCAAGAATCGCCCCCCCGTCCAATCTCCAAACCTATCTCCTCCTTGTAGGGTGAATTTCTTTTGTGTGCAATAAACCTGTGAAAATATTGTACTGGTATTTCCTTTTATAATTCCAGAAAGCACCACTTCTAGTATAAAGTTGCGTCATGGATGATAATGAAGACAATGATTAATAAATCCAGTTAATGAATAGAGGTCTTTAGAGAATGGGACATCTATTGATTTTTAAGTCATAGATTAGATTTCTAGGGTTGGAAGGGACCTGGTAGATCATTGGGTTCGACCCCCTGCTCCAGGCAGGAAAGAGTGCTGGGGTTAAGTAACCCCAGCCAGGTGCCTGCCTTATCTCTTCTTGAACACCTCCAAGGAAGGGTAAAACACCACCTGCCTTGGAAGCCCATTCCGTATTTTGGCAACCATTACCATCTGTTTAAAGGTTTAAAAGTCCGTTTAAGTTTGGAAAGACGTGCACAAAGCGACTATTGTCTTGGCACCCTTGGACTTTTCTTCCTGCCAAGAACCATTCCAGGTCCATATTCAAATATAGCAGCTACTTGTTCCCCAGTATCTGGCACATTGCAAGCATACACATACACACAGATTCTTTGCTTTTAATTTTGGTGCCTAGCCTGCAGGAATCCAGAGTGCCAATTGTAGAGAGCATCCTGCTTAACTCCAGACTGGAGAATGATCAGTGTAATTACCAGAATCACAGGACGTTATTTGCAAAACTTTACCATGCCTTTGCTTAGCAAGCGTGTACTGTTAGATTTCACCAAGGAGCATGTTTGACAGCCCAGAGGTTGCAAGTTTGAGGCCACAGCAGAAGCACTTGTGGCACGGCCCAGTCAGCTTCCAATAAATCTGCAAATTTTGCTAAATACCTTGCCACAAGGACATGAAAAAGGAATGGCAAGGAACAGGCAAAGATGACAAAAGGTTTGTCTCTGCATGAAAGGAAACTTCCATCTTACATTCCCAGGTCCTGTTGCCAAGTACAGAGCTTCGCAAAGAAAAGATCATAAAGAGTTTTATTTGTTTTTTTGGTTTTTTTAAGATATGCAACATTTCTGTATTTTATTTATAAGTTATTTTTTGGAAATCATTGAGCCATTTGACAGAAATTCTTCCTAGCACTTCATACACCTACCATGGAAATTTTCAGTCCACACAGTTTAGCAAGGCTATAAACACCTGGAAAAAATGTTTCTTTATCATAGGCAATGTCAGGTCACTTTTAAAAATATTGTTATCAACCTTGCCTACAATGAAAGCTAAATAGTTAGGTGGTGAAATATATACTTATAACATTATCTTCAAAATCTAATAAACCTGGGGTGACTGGGTAGCAGGATGGTAGCTTATTTTAATATAGATAACATACAATTTTTTGGACTCAGGAAAAAGGTGAACATTTCCAGAAACATAGATGAGCTCTGAATTGGTGGGGAGTTCTCAAGAAAAGTTAAGGTCAGTTTGTAGTGAATGCATGATAGAGGGACTGTGAGGCATGGATGAGCAAACATTTTTGTGAATATATAATGTCTTCACTCAAAGAAGTGATAATATGGGAATGCATCATCTAAACCAGAGCACAAATGAAGGAGAAAAAAAGGCTAGGAAAGAGAGCTCCCCAAAAAGCTAGGGATTGCATATAAGGTAGGAATTAAAAGAAAGGATTATAACCTTATGACTGAAAAGAATCAGAGCTAGAATGTAATTGACTACAGTTCAGTTTTTAATGGGCATATATTTTGGGTATAATCTACCTATAGAAATATATCTGAAACAGTGGAAGAAAATGACTTAATGTGAACTAGATAGAAAAGGACAAGATATTTATGCAAAAAAGCTGATAGAAGTTTCCATGCTGCAGAATTACATGGGTCAGAGTCATTTTGCATGTCTGGCTTATTTGCATAGTTTGTTTTATATCAGAGACTGGTTGCTGGCAGGGGAAGGACAGCGTAGTAGATGGGGTCAGTATCTTGTTCTAGTACTGCAGCTCTTGCATGTGTCAAAGGTTTGGATTAGGAATTGAGCGTTACCTCCTTGGTGAATGCATCTGGAGCGGGAAAAAAATGTGTGGCTAACTTTTTAATGCTACATTGCAGAAAATATCCTTCAACTAAGATAAAAGGCAGTGTTAATAGGCTGGAAAGGAGAAGAAACATAATATAAGTGAGTGGTGAGGGCCATTGCATCATGTTACAATATCTAGTATCTCATGATACATTCTGGTATGTAAGGTACCATAATGGTAGATGAGCACTGCTAATGATAATGGTACTTCTACTACTACTAATGATAGTGATGATAAGAATTAGAATTACGGTATTCAAGTGGCTTAGAAGCTGTACCTGAAAAAGCAGTTGCTGTTCTAGTCCATAGGTTGAATCAACAACGAAATGGGAAATGAGGTGGGAGACTGCTTTAATCCACTATGGTAATTCCATGGCTCCTAAATCCTTTCTTGCCCCCAGTTTTTGCTTGTGCATTTGGTCACCTCATGAGCATTGTGTGGGAAACTTGTAACGTGTGATTACTTAGGCTTTAGACAGGTTTTCTGTTCTTCTCTGTGGACCCAGTTGGATGTATAACGCAGGACTCTATACACGGAGTACTTTTCAGTACTGCGCATCTTTGAAAGGAGTCTCAGTAATCTGTCAGATTAAAAAAAAAACGGAATGTACAATTTGCAGAATTTAGGCATTAGGACTCGCCTTCTACCTGTGGAAAACAAAGTGATATTTAGGACAGACCCTGACAGTCACCCACGAACAGCCCAGGTCACATAAGCTGCCCTTCTCTCCATCAACATTTTACCTTTGCAGTTGCTCCTTGTTCCTTAAGCAGATCCTGTGACTGCCTGTAATGTTCCCCTTTTTCAACCCTTATGAGGTCCCCTTGTAAACCAGATCTTCCTTTCTCTCCCAGTTACCCTGTTTGAACTGCCTTGTTACTGATCCTTTCTAGGAGTGTGCCTACAGGCTTCTTGGTCTTTCCTTGAGAGCTTGTTCAGCATTAGAGATGAGAGGTGGGAAGTGAGGTATAGAAGTGGAGGAAGTTAGGAATGCAATGGTGGGATTGCATCTGCTGGACCTTCTCGCCTGTAGTGTATGGCTCAAGTCTTGTAGTGTATGGATATACTTCAAACATGTGCTAAGGGGCAGGGTATGAGATGAGTAGTGATGTCGCTGGTCCCTATAACTCTGAAGTTCAGCAGAGCTGCAGTTAGGCTGTACAGCTGGTGAGGAAAGTGTGGGGGGGTCAAGCTTAAGAATTGTTAATGGAGGTGGTGAGCAGGCATGCCCTTGAAGATGGTCAGCTTGGTTGACTCTGCCTTTCAGAGGAGACATAATCAGTTTCATGTCAGTAGCTGTTAATAGCCATGGTATTTTATGATAAGTACGGGGGAGGAAAAAGACCCCAAACTAAAATGGATGTGTTGTCTTTTCTTTCCTCAGCATCTTGCTCAAAAAGCAGAAGAGATTCAAGCAACACATCAGTGGAGGGATGAGTTTGGGGTAAGTTTACATTTTCCCCCATATTTCTTCATCCTCAGAAATTTACCGCTCCACAGTTTGTGAGAATCCAATGAAAATGTATCCTATCAATGCCAGTGGGTTCTCACTGGCTCAGCAGGAAGCAATATCCCTGAAAACACTGATATGGCATGACTCAGAGAATTGGTGCTTTATCTGTACAAATTTAATTTACAATGAAAAATGACTTGGTTGTCTTTACATATTACTGCTGTAGGACAAATCAGAATCTGAACTATGTTTTTGGCTGTTTGGGACCTAAGATTCATCATCTCCCTGAATAATGCATTCTTGGCGTAAAAGCAGAAATCTAGTACATTTATCTTTCTTAATAATGGTCAACTGGTAACATTTATTTTCTGATGTAGGTTCCTGCTTTTCCTTCTGTTGTCCAAAGCAGCTAGCATTAAAATGCCTGCCTCAGTAGCAGTTTGTCTTCACAGTTGACCAGATATATGGGACGCACAACAGATATATGGTGATAATAGGGTTGCTAGTTTTCCCAGTAATCTATTGCATGTATGCCACTGAAATTTTCTTGAGGCCTGCTACAAAATCCCCTGAAGAAATTGGAGCCCTCAATTCCACTCCAACCTCTTGAATTAGAATAGGAGCCCTCTGGATTTTATTTATTGTAAACTTAATATTTTGGGCTGGTACTTTCTACAGGAATTTGGTTTGTTCTCATCCTGCCAAATGAACCTGTTTGCAGTACACAGTTGCAGTTATATTTCCTCATGATATGAGTCTGAAAAGAATAACTTAGTGTTTCATCAAATAAAAGCATACGGAAACTTATAGAATACTGGGCCCTAAATGTGCAGCCTTTTTGCTTGCTCATACTCCCAGAAATCTTGGCCATCCAACAATATCTTCGCTGTTCAAAATCCCCCAAATAGCTGTATGGCTTCACAGTTGTCAACCTCATCCTGTTTTTGATTTTTAAATGTGAAGCAGTCCTCTTTTCAATTAGTGCAGATACCTGTTGATTTACAAGTTAAGAGCCTTTCAATAGTCAAGATGTTAATCCTTTTTTTTCCTATCATAAAGGAAATTGCAGCCTGGGCAAATTAATATTGTGCTGGATGTGTTAAAGTTAGGCTGCGGTTTCTCTGCTTGTTATACCTCCTCTACCTGTTCCTTCATAAAGGGCAGTTGTATGGGTATGGGTGTCTGGTGCCTCTTAAGTCAGCGACTGGGGAGGGGGGGTGCAGGGCCCACTGGTGGCTGATCCTGCTGACTGGTGGTGAGTCCCATGTGGACAATCCTGCTGACCCTGGGGAGGGGAGAGGGGGCATGGCAGATCTCACTCACCGTGATCTCACACCACTTCCAGAAGCAGCGCAGCTGCTTTTGCTGGCGGCCCCGTTCCCTGGCTAACAATTGCAGGGGGGGCACTGGTGATCCCACCTGCTCCCCTGCCCACTGGCTAAACGGGGAGGGGGTGCACGTGCACTCCCGTGTATCCTGTATGCATTGCCCCAGGTAGTTGACAGTGCCTTCTGTGTTCTCTTTGTGTGCAGCGGTGTGGAGCTGCCTCCCGCTTCCCCTCCGCACACGCTGAATGAGCTGCCCGTGGCTCTGTCCTGCTCCCTGCCCCAGCCTCAGGTCCCACACACCACCCTGGCTGGGCAGCACCCCCAGCCTCTGCCCCTACCTCTGCTCCACTCTCTCCTTCACCAGGGGGTTTTGATCTTGATCTGCGCCCCCCTCCCCGCCATGCCCCTTCCCCTTCATAGACATACCTGCAGGGAGCTTCTCTCCATGGTGCCCTGATGTATTCCTGGCTGCATGCATGCATGCGGCTATGTGCATGCACATGCCAGCCCCTGTGATTCACTCCCAGCAGCCCCAAGCAGGACCCCTTGCAGGCTAGAAGGCTGCCCACCTGCAAGGGGAAACCAGCCATTTCCCAAGGGAACCCAGGCATGCACGGGGCACCTGACTGGCAGGGGCATCTGGGCCTGGGCCCCGGTGCCCCATGTGTTAATCCACTTGTGTTTTGAACACTTACTAGAATGGTAAGGCCATATAATCCTAAACACAGCAAATTTCTGTAGTGTCTTTGTTCTTTGCCACAGTGTTCTTTACATACAAGACAGAGGTTTCTTATTATTCTTTTTTTTTTTAAGGAAGATACTTTTAGGTTTCAAGGTAAACTCAGATAAAATTAATAGCTCAGAAAATCATGGAGTCCTAATGGGAACCATCATGGTGCAGGGTCCCCAGGGATGGCCATGATGCCCCTAAGGCTCCATGACCATGCCACCTTTGCCCTGTAGGTGCCTTCTAATCACACGTGCCACATCTTGTTGGTTAACAAAATAAGTAGGGAGGCTGCCCAAGAGTTTCCGTGTGGCCATGGTCCTGCTGAACCCCATTAGACCTGGCATGTTCATGGGTCCCTTGCTGGGTCCTGCTCCAAGTCAGTGTCTCACGGGACACCCTAAGACTTATGGGCTAGATGGGTGGCTCCAAAACCTCCTCTTTACCATGCCTCATGCCTCACAGGTGGTATATAAATATTGTCCCTCTGATGAGGTCTTGGCCTGACTTGGCCTCCTGTAGTCGCTAGGCTCTTTGTGGCCCCTGTTGCTGTGCCCCTCTGGCCCTGGGGCTGTACGCAATAGTGTGCCCCAGTGAAGCCTCCTTCTCCCCTATTGGCCTCATCCCAGTCCACTGGTATAAAAGAAAACAGAAACACAAGCCCCTGGGCTACAATATAACAATAACAATGGAGGCCACACTCTGCCCCTTTAAAAAGGTAAACTTATCCCTTAGTACTATTTGCCTCCTAGCCCCAGGTACTTTATGAGCTCATGGAGCCCTATAAATCTTGCAGGCAGGAAATCAGGTAAACAGTTGTCCCCAGGTAGCTCTTCCGCACAGGAGCTGCTTCCCCTGGTGGATGCCAGAAAACTAACCCCTGTCAGCCCCAGCTCTGGGGCTTATATGTGCCCAGGGCCCTGACTCCTTCCTGTCAGCTGACCATGTGCAGGTGCCAACTAATTTTCTTACTAGCCCGCTCCCCAGGCAACTTGCAGTTGTTGAGCTCTGCCTCACTCTCAGGGCTCTCTAGCTAGGCTGCTTCTGCTCTTAAAGGGGCAGGCTTCCCTTAGTGCCCTGCAACAAGAACAGTTTACAGTTTTGGTTACGTTGGTGCAGAAGGATGTCCACAGTTTCAGATTCCCTTTTTGGATTCTTATTGGAACAATACACATTTGTGCCTTCTGAATATGCTATCACTGGGCTTTGTCTCTCTATTTTGCCTTTTGTCTTTAATACAAATGAATGCAGGTTGTCACATGCAGGGCAAAGGAGCTTCTGGGCTCATCAGAATTCACTGCTGAAGAGAAATCCCAAAGTCATTTTTAAATGTAATTTTATAATAATGCTCATAGCTCAGGCAATGGCTGAAGTTACAGTTAATGCAATCACAATCTGTGCATATCTTACAGGCTGAAAGAATCTCTGGGTGGATTTATTTAAAGAAGCTGCAAACCAGGCTTCTGCTTTACTGTTTTGAGTTTTAGATGAGAATGCTGTGCAGAATATAATAACCTTGACATAAGGTTTTGCAATTAAATTTAAAATAAATGCATTAAGCCTCTCATAATTTAATTTGTCCCATTTTAGCCAGAAGTAATCTTTCTTCTCTTCTGGGCTAGTTCTTAAAGGATGACTGTTAAGATTAGTTTGCACACAGATCTTCTTTGATAAACTTATTTTTTATTGCAAAATTCATTCTTCTACTAGCTTTTTGGAAAAGGAAGATGTAGCATGAAGGTTTTTAAAGGATTCTGTTTTTAATTGTGTATTACAGCACAATGATAGCTGGTAGGTTTGTGGGGGTGGGGAAGAGACTTCTGAAAGTGGAACGATCTCGGGGGAGTGAGGGTGAAAGCCGTGGCATTAGTTCTGTGGTCTCTGGAAGGTTAAAAGAGATCTGCCATTAGGAAGTCTGTCTAACCATTTGTTGCTGACAACTTGATTTAAATATAAGTGTTTATGTACAATTGTACACATTTCAACAAGGATTTTAAAATATGTTAAAGTTCAAAGATTTTATCAGTAAGCTACAATTGGAGAGAGATGGGGATCCAGTGTCTTTAATAATACCTAACTGCCCAGAATTTCTTGTGCATAGCAAATCTTGAAAAATTTGAAAGTTTGGTTCAGATCATTGAAAAAATTTCACAACATATACCATAAACTTTGTTTATTTTTAGATTAGCCATAATTTATTGTAAAAAACACAATTTTGAAAAATTGTTTTTGAAGAAAAATATAGCTAATACATTGACATAGTTATTTTTTGGTAAATAAAATCTAATTTTTAACTACTTGTAACTCAGTGAAAACAAACTTTTGTTATAGTTCTGTGTTTTTTTTATTGCTGTGTTTTTAACTTGGAATAACTACAAGAGCTGCAGGCATTAAATAAATAAATAACCCAAGGGGTTGGGTTAATAGGACAGTTTAGTTCAAAGGCTTCAGTTCAGTTTTTATTTTAAGTAAATTAATGGGTATATGCATCAAAATGGTAATATCTGTAAATGTATCAATACTGTAGTGTAATTTACATTTTGACCCACTGTTTAGGAAAATTGGAAATATGGAAAAAACAGAGGATGATATGATTTGAAGCTGCCAACGTTAAAGAAATACCATTGTCTAAGTGATATGGATATAAAAGGGGAGTTAGATCCTGAGTTATCAAGGAGTTGATAAGAAGTGATTTAAAGCAGACAGCTAGGTATAGTATATCTAGGGGGAATACCATATTTTGTAATAATGTGGAAGTGTTATTCTTTATCTACTGAATTAATTTGGAGTCTACTGCCATCAGTCGAAAAAACTTTGGATTTGTTCCTAATGGTCCAAAGCTTCATTTTGTGCCAATAACTTCCAGTGCATTGACTGGGGGCTTTTATGTTTATAAGAATGTGTTCACAGAAATGAATAAGTATTGCAAACCACTG